TGATCCGACTCTACGCAGGTGGACCAATAGGATCTGCAATTTTGTACTGAGCCATTCCAACAATAGCTTACAGCTATGTGATCAATTTGGGTCAATGTGCCCGTTGAATTGGAACACCATGTAGCCGTTCGACGAGAGCTGTGTCGAAAGTTGGTGCTAGATAAGAACAACCGATAATCCGCGCAGAACTGAAGGAATCGATCACCGTCGTCTGTCCGCCTAGTGGGAAGAGCCAAGTGTCCTCCCAAACAGGCTTCGTATAAGCTTAGTTTCCGAACATGTACGTTGAACTCACCTTTCAGCGCTATAATATCGGAGCTACGGCCGACCCGAATGAGCTCGACTGGTTTTGTCGTAAAGTTCATCCTTTTGTGAACTGGGACTGCATTTGGTCGGTGCGTATGCAGAAATGATAAACAAACACCTTTTGATGTTGTTTCCCTTCTGAATACCAACTGAACTCTGGAGCCTCATTGCGCACAGACGACTGTTGATGGATATCCAGTCTATCAGTGAGGCTTCAGCTTTGTCGTTGAGTACGATTCTTACACCGCGCTGACCTAGTGAGCGGACTTCATCTTTTCCTGATATGTGAAGGATAAACCCTGGACACTCAGATGGTTTATGCAACTAGGATCCTGAATTCGTGTCTCTGTTGTGCAACAGATGTGAATTATTCCTGCAATTAATTGGAGATCATTATTTTATCTCTATGCTGTTGGTCCCATGACATTTACATGGGGAAACAGATTTCCAATAATACACGTTACCTACTCACGAGTAAGCTAATTGAATTTGTGTAACTATTCCATTCCGCCTGTTCGTTAAGCTCGGTCATTTGTTTGCAAACGTTTCATCACCAGCCTAGGTGACGTCATTATTGCTTGTGAAGTGACCTGATGATGTCACCTCGGCTGGTGATGAAACGTTTACCCAGCTCCTACCTAGGGAAGTTGGCTAAAAACCCAGATTCCAAACCAACCAAGAAGAGGCGTACACACACATCTTCCTGGTTGTGGCAGTAGCCACCGGCTCGATAGTGGCATCGAGGTGTATTGGACACAGATGTTTGACCCCGTCCCAAGGGCGTATGATCCAATGAACTGGACACCAGCCCCCAATGAATTGCGGTTTTCACACACCGCCCGATTTCCTTGCTGGTCAGGCTTTGGCTAACCGAAGATTCCGGTTGTGAATCCTCAGGAAAATTCACCTGTCTTAGCTTAGCAGTATTCTGCCCACGTGCAAATTATGGACCTATTTCTTCATTATAAAGATTATTGTAGTGAGATTTTTTTTAGCACGCACTGTGGACTGTGGAGCTCCTAAATGATCTTAACCAAGTTCTTTGTATTTTTTACAATTTGGTACACATGGTAAAACATGACAAAATATTACTATCCTTCGGATGTAGATTATCCAATCAATCTTCTTGGTTTCAGTCAGTTTTTTCGTATGGACCATTGATGAGCTTTTCGAACCTTAGTATCCTCGCACTTCTGATCGGATCAAAGTTGAACATAAAAAATGCATACGCAGCACATCGCACTTGCATTGTTCCTCATCCTGGTCACTGTCGGAATCATTGTGGTTCTGAGTATCTTCATCGTGGTCAAGCGTCGTATCACACGTAGGAAAAGTCGAGTTGAACGGAATACCTATACACCCTGTGGTCACGGTCTGTCCAAGGTTAGTTTTCAAGCTTCTGAGTCACTCCTTCGCCGCCTTGCGGATTCCAGGTTTGGAGGGAGAACTTGGAACGCAGTATCAACGCTACTGTTCGTGTACGAACTGAACCCAGAACATTTGGTGCACATTACGAAGAAAATTTCAATAGATATTGTACCGAAGGTTGGTTTCTCACACATATATGTATATAGATAATGTTTTTTCCTATTCCTAGATAAAATAACTTATTTGTATCGAGCCAAAGCAGTGGACGAATTTCTAAAATTAAGTAAGACACTAATGAGAATTCCCGTGTCAGTTCCCTCTTACCCCGTTGTCCAGAGAAAAGCATCCTCCAACTTTGTCCGGATTTGGAGGCACCGCCTATTCGCGGAATCCAAGCGTTTCTGCTCACTGCACGTGACCACGCGATGAGTCCACCGGCATCCCGTGACCGAATTGAGGAATATTGCCGGCTTTACTTATGGGCAAGGCATGATCTGGAAGTAGGTTTCGCAATTCATCCCTAATTCCTCTATTACGTCGCAGCCGTTTGGTGAAGAGGAGTATAACAAACTTTGTGCTCTACAGAAAGTGCTCATGGAGCTGTAAGTTGCTGCAAGTCTTGTTTGGGTGTTGGAAAACTGTGGCTTTTAATGTAATTGTACTGAATTTCTCCACTGAGACTGCTCTCGACTCAAAGGATCCCACCGGTTCAGCATACAAGGGTGTACTGAGCAACGGACGGCGTAAACTTCACAGTCATGAAGATCTGTTAGTCACTCATCGAAACTGGCAACCTGAAACCCGATCCTTGTAGTGGTGAACCACATAAAGCCCCGCTATATTAGCCGTGGTATTCAGCCGGACGACAGCGAATCTGCCTGATACCCGAAACCTATATTTTTGAGACATTGCAATGCTACTTTTTGCACTGAATTCGCGTGGATGCACTCTTTCTTATTTGAAATCTCGAAAGTAAAAGGGATAACAGTGGAAATCGCGTACAATAAAAAGGAAAAGATTGTTTCCCCCCGAAACTGGTTACCTCTGTTTTTGATCTGCTCCTGTATTTTGCCCTCAACGCATAGTTATTTCTTATTGGTTANCAGTGTACTTCTTTATTACACATTTTCGTGTGATGAACAGCAGACGGAGTAAACTCCATAGTCACGAGGACCTGCTGTTCAGTGATGGAAACCAATAGCCTAAGCCCCGGGACTTGGAGTGGTGAACCACATAAGGCCCCGATAGGTTAGGCGTGGTATTGAACCGGACGACAGTAAAGCAGCCTACCACCAAAGTCGGGTGGCAGTGGCGAGGCTTGAACCTCGGACCATAGGGTTCAAAGCACGCTGGTGACAGCGACTACACCCTTGAACCACCACCACCCATGACAGCGAACTTGGTTACCACCAAAGTGAAATGACGATGGTGACGGGGTTGAGCCTCACAAGTCAACGATGGCGAATTGGACCACTCAATTACCTAAGTTAAGAATCATAAATGAAAGTAAACAAATAAGAATTTTACTCCTACACTCGGTCCTTACAAACCGCCTTGGACTCAAGAATAAGCAATGAAAATAACAGCGTAAACCGAAATCCATCAAAAATGAAACATTACGGTCCAGATAATAAAACCAAAAATTTTCGTTCATTGTCATGTTGTATCAACCCTCAACCCTCTTCGTGAACTCATTCATGCGGCTACGATCTAGAAACTGACTCAAACAAACCTGGACTTATTTCCCTGTGAAGCTCGAGGTCGATCCATCACAATACAGAATAAACAAGGGTGAGGGGTTGGTGCTCTGAAGGGACGAGTTCAAAGTCATTTCCAAAAAATAATCGCAGATGAACAATAACTGCAAGTCTCCTCTTGGTCATCGACATAGATTTTGTTTCAGTAATTTTCACTTTCTGCACTTATCGGTAACAGTAAGGAAGCTTTCGTGTCCCAGAATGCATTGTTTGTTTCATTAGACCCTCTTGTAACGCAAAGTGATATATATATATATATATATTTCATAATAAGTAGTATGTGAATGACTGGACAAAATTTCCCTGGGAGCACACGACCGGTTTCGCGGTCCTTGCCACTCGTCAGGCATGCGTATACGGTAATCTTTTGTCAGTTCATACATATACTTGTACCCAGGAAGTGTATTTTCGTCACAATAACCTTGTTTGCAACACCCGGTAACCATCGGATAGACAGCCCTTTCACAGTCAGTTCAGTATATATATATATATATATATATATATATATATATGACAGTTTTGTAAACAACGGTATTGATTGTTGTTTTTGTAGCTCGGGTAGTATAACTTGGTGTTCACTTGTTCGCCAAGCTTGGCAATTGTATTGCAAACGTTTCATCACCAATCAAAGTGACATTCTCAATGCAGTAACTGGGTGAGCGCTTATGAGTGTCCCTTTCCTTATATAGGTCGTTGAGTCATGTAGAGATGTGACGTTGCCTGATTGGCTGATGTTTGTTCGCCTTGTGTCGATAGGGGATGAGGTGGAGACGAGCAGTCTGACGGTTGGTTGTTGATCGATCGGTCGAATTGTTCTTGTCGTCCTGTTGTGACGTGTGACACGACCCGCCTTCTTTACGCTGATTGGTCCTGTTGTTGCATGGGAGTGTAGACTTGATCGATGTCAATGTGTTGGTTGACCTCTCATTGCCGGCTACGAATATTCCATCAACAACACCAAACAGTTCCTAGAAAAATTGAAGAATGTAAATATTGACGCAGATGAAATAATGATATCCTTCGACGTCACCTCTCTATTCACCTCCATCAACCTCGATTTGGCCANTTTCGAGATCGAAGTTGTGTCCTTCTTGGTCTTCATGAATTGAGATGAGTGAGAATGCACCGTGTCTTTTGATGGCCAGTTTGTGTTCGTGCATGCGAGCAGCTAGTTTTCTACCCGTTTGACCGATGTAGTGCTTGCTGCAGTCCTTGCAATTGATGCGGTAGATCACATTTGTTGGATTTTTATGTTCTTTTTGCTTCTTTGTTTGCGGTAAGATTCTCTGTAGGGTCGTCGTTGGTTTGTAGGCGACTTGAATGTTGTGCGGCTTCAGTATTCT